GAAAACAAGATAAATTTAACAAACTGGTTCTTATGTTTTACATTTGGAAAAACTCTTAATGGGATATTTGTGGCTGTTTGATAGAACAAAGCAATTCAAAGTTAGGCTCAATATCTGACAATTTCAGTCTTAGATCAGGTTCTGCATTTAACCTGTTTCTGTATTTATCTTTCAGATAAGTATATGTTGAAAATCCTTTCTCGCATAGATATGTTGTGCAAAATGGTAATAGAACTTCACTTTTTTGGACAGAACAGGATATTCATTTTGTATACTGAGCCAGAAGTCAATTAAAGATTGATCTTTAAAAATTGCTTCTAGAGAACTGTCACAAGATAACTCTATGAGTTTTTTTCTTTTTCCAGTATATTTAGAGAGGTTTCTGAACTTACATTTCCTTGAAAATGGATTACGTATCCAGCTGTTTGAGATGGATATATTGCATCTGTTGGGAAAATAGTCATCAAAAGTTAATCGAAGATACTTCAGATGTTCACATATACTTCTTTTAATGTTTTTGTCAAGTTTAATTGAATTTTATGATAAAAAAGTGCTGACAGAATCGAAACATCCATACTCATTCATCTGCAGGCATTGAATCCAAAAATTGATCTTTTTCAACATTCTATCATGTACACTGAAAATGGTGACACCCTCGTCTTGTAAAGACATATTTAATTCATTCAGTTTACAAAATATGTCTGCTAAATACGTAAGCTTTTGCAGCCAAAGAACATTGGATATACAAGAAGACAAATGAAACGGATGATCAATAAAAAATACTTGAACTTCAGACTTCAATTCAAACAAACGTGTCAAAACTTTACCACGGGAAAGCCATCTAACTTCTGTGTGAGTAGTAAAGAAACATGGAAACTTCCAAAATCCTCACAAAGCGTACGGAATAGACAGCAATTTGTAGCACACGATTTTATAAAGTTCACAATTTTTACAGCATCACTTAAAGTAGTAGATAACTCTGCAGGAATACGCTTACATACTAAAGCTTGTCTATGAATACAACAATGAGTCCATTGAATTTTCTCGTTGGTCTTCTTCACCCGTGCCACAAAACCAGAAAATTTTCCTGTCATTGATTTTGTACCATCTGTACACACACTCACACAATAAGAAGAGCTTATTCCATTCTTTTCAAAATACCCATTGATCATATCGAAAATCGCTTCTCCAGTTGTGTAGGTTTTCAAAGGTTTTGCAAATAGTAGATCTTGAACAATATTCGTAAAAAGATATCTAACGTAGACAAGCAAGACTGCGGCATTTGTTACATCTGTCAATTCGTCAAGTTGAATTGCGAAATAATTCAATTTTATTCTTTTTAGAAGTTCATTCTTCACATAATTAGCCAAGTCATTAATCCTACACGACACCGTGTTGTTTGATAAGGGAACTAGCTCAAATTTTTTGCTGCCTTTTCCCCAAACATACATTTGGCGATATCTTTTATCCAATTAAATTTTCTGCTATTGTATGCGCTTATCCAGATCTTGCAATTCTATAAATTACTCAAAATGATGCTTAAAGGGCCATTTTACTACCTTCGTTTGAAGTCAAGAAAGAAGAAAGGCTGCGCTTTTTGATATCTGCTAATTTTCTTTTCGAAATATTCAAGAGGTTATCTTCGTGTGTCGGATATTTTGTTTCAATATGTCTATGAAGAAGTGATGGTTTTAAACTGTTGGAAAGAACTTTGTTACATATAACACAAAGCGGTTTAGATTCCGACACATCCCCAGTAAAATGAAAACCCAATTGTAGATAGTCGCTGTCATATTTTCGCTTTTTCCCTTTTCTATCATCATTTCCTTTGTTTTTTGTCTGGTGAAACCGTACCTCACTACAGCTTTCAGTTCTATCATCTCGATTATCGTGTCTCCTTTCTAAACGAACCATTTTTAACCATCGATCCATAATAAAAGTAAGCTATATTAATAATTATTAAGTCATTTACACGAGAACTTGACAGTCACAGTATCACTATCACTCAAGCTTTACAAGTGCTAAGCCTATGTATGAACGTCGACAGACAGACAGACAAAATAGACAGTTAATACAACACTACTCTCCCAGTTCCCGGTTGTGAACAAGTATCTAATTCTAAAATCTGTAGTAAACTGCCTTAATTTGATATTTATTTCCAATTGTATTGTAAAAAAAAATATTACATAGAAGGAAAAACTGCTGCAATGAATTTTAATATAAAGCAGAACATGATACTAATCACATTGATAAAATGTTTTAAATATAAATAAATGTTTTAAATAAAAAAGATAATAGTATTTGATTACTTGAATAAGAGGAATAAATTATAATGTGTAAAATTGTTGATAGAATTTGATATTGATGAAGTAATTTTGAAAAACAAATAAGGGAAAAAAATAAAAATATTGAAATGTATTAGATTTCTTAACAAACAGGCAGCAAACAATCTGTTTTGCAGTGTTTTTTTTTTTTTTTTTTTTATTTTATTTTCACGAACCGCCGGTTGGGAATCGCTGATCAAAAGGATATCAAAATTTACAAAAAAAGCTTAATATTTATTTGTTTACTTTATTAAAAATTTTTTCAATGTAAGTTGTTTAAGTTGCTTCGTTTTTTGTGCTAAACACGCATGTGTAAACATTAAACGCGCATGCGTAAAGCATACAAAAAAAAAAAGTTTGTGGCTTTGAGGTCCGGATTATAGATCATTCCGGATAATGGACGTCCAGATTACAGACTTTGTACTGTACATTGAGTATATTTTAATGTGTTTTCCACATTTGTTAATTTTAATTTCTCATTGTAAGAGAATCGTGCGACAATCATAAACACCTTCTGAAATATCTTTGCTTTGACAAAATCAGGTTTGTACATTTTTTCTTTTTATTTTGGGTAGTAAATGGACTTTCTGTTTGTTGCAGTCATTTAGGTAAATCTATGCTTCCTCTAGGGTCACAATGTATTTCTTATGGGGTTCTATGACTTGTTCTGCGTTGAGCCGTGTGCCTTGATGAAAGCTCATGAACATTATATGTTTTAGATTTTTATGTTGCAAATCTTGGTTTATTATTTTATTTATTTTTTATTGCAGATCTATTAAAATTTATATTCCGAAACATTTTTAAAAATTCTTTATCGAAATCATTCTGAAAATGTATAAACACCGTCTGTACTTAATTTTTATTAATGATGTTTGGACACCTTAAAAATTTCTTGTGGTTTCTAATGTAGGGGTTAAAAATGAGATCCTCACATTTGGTAAATATGCTTTTTCAGTGCATGCGCAAGTGTTATCTATTGGTAGTGAAATAATGACTTAGGTAGGTAGATCCGAGAGTTTATGGTCTCGCATATAAAGAATTGTTTAGCAATATATCCCTTCTGCACATTAGTAGCAATACTAAAATTAAAAAATTTGAGTATTTTAATAAATTGCATGCATTCTTTTTTAACTGTACTGAATGAAGTGATATGCTAATTTGTTCTGAAATTTTTTTAACTGAGTATGTGACTGAGTAAAACTGAGTCTTGTGATTACGTTTTTAATTAAATGGGGACTTAATTCCAAAGAGATAAAACAGTGCTATGTGTATGTTTAATTGGCAAAACTATTTTGCACGAGTCAGAAATTCATAGAAGTTGATTTTCTTAAAGGTTAATCATTGCAGGTGTAGACATTTGAAAATATGTCCAGGAGAAAATAGTGAGTGACAAGAGAATAAAAGTCAAGGATAAAGGAGCAAGTTTGAATCTTTCTCAACTGTCTTGCTGATTCTTCTATAACAGAGTCTTTTTAAGATGGGTACCTCAGTTTCTTCAGTTCAAAAACCGCAACGTATCAGTACAAGTCAAAAACAGCAATGCTGATTTAAAGAACTTAAGCACTTCCCTTACAGCTGAGATTTAACTCCAAGTGATTATTATCTGTTTTCAAAACCAAAATCTGACCTTTGTGGAAAGAGATTTACTGATGATTATGGCTTGAATAGATTAGTTATGAAACATTTTGAGAAAAAAATTTCCAAAGAATTTTGCTAAATCTGGGGATAATAAAATAAGATATGAATAAAAAGAAATAATTTGAACTCTAAGTTTTTTAAACATGTCTTATTCATCCTCATACTGTTTGTCTCACCAAGAAAATCTCCTGACGGCATGTCTGTAGATGTTTATTGCCCTGGAAATGAACCCTAACTCATTTTTTCATAGAGTTGTCCTGCAAAAAGGTTGATTAAGTTGACCTTTTTGGTGCACAGAATGCTGTTACAAAATTTGTGATATATATATATTTTTTAATCTGTGCTTTAAGCCTCCGAGCCTTATGAGTTTAGATCTGATATTTCGAAGTTTCTCAAAGTGTCATGAATGCATGGTATTTTCTTGATTTTTATCAAAAAATGACCGTGTACCTTCACTCCTTTTCTTCCAATATACATCCAGACCGAAATCAGATACATTTAAAAGTAACGACTATAGAAGGCAGCCTCCTATACGGAATTTTCCGGCCATAACGCTGAAAGGGTTAAGTAAAGTACTCTTTATAGCATTGTTTTGCCTTTCCCAAGGCCAAATTCAGCCAAAATAAAATAATGATAAACTTTCACATAGACATACTGATGAAAGCAGTTCTCGTGACAGATAGGTATGTTGCATTGCAACATTAAAGTATTCTTTTTAATGTACTGCTGCGTAAGATTAATACATAATGATATTGTGAACAGTTCTATTTGAATAATACCGTAAACAGTTTTATTTGACCTAGCTAGAGCATTTCAGCTGTACATGGCATTTTTCTTAATAATTTTGTATCTTGTTTGAAGCAAGAGTGCTATATTCTAATTTTATGTATCCCTCTTGTTGTGAATATTCAGTAAATTAGTATATGACAAAATACTCTTAATGACTGTAGGTCTAATAGTTAGTTTCAGATGTAATAATTATTTATTTAATTTGTCTGACATAACATAAAAGCTAATCTTGATTTTCCCCCCCTTTAGTGAAGAAGTGAAGAGCTCATCATGTTTACCTCTGCCAAAATCTAAAGCAGGCAACTTGGAAGCTGAAAAATACTTTTTACCTTTTGAATTAGCAACACAGTCTAAAACGCCAAGAATAGTAGCTATAGGGATTGACTGTGTACAGGTTTGGATTTTGTAGTATTGTTTTTGTTTTGTGTATGACAAATATAATATATGAAATAGCAGGATATATATGTATTATATATATATGAGATACACTAAAGTATGAAATAGGATGGATGTCTGATGAATAATTTCTACAGGGTTCGTATGGTCCTTGAGAATCCTTAAAAGTCCTTAGATTTTTTTGGAATCAATTTTTGGTCCTTGAAAGTCCTTAATTTCAGCAGGAGGTCCTTAATTTTAATCATGTGAAATTTGTCTGTTTTTATGACTGCCATTTTGAATGTGAATTAGCATTTTGGGCAAGTATTTTTGGCGATTCATTGCCAAATATAGTTATCTTTTGAATGGGTGACTAGGTTCATGGATTATAATTTGTTCCTATTTCTAATATAAATGGTGAGATACTCAAGTTTCTGAAGTGAAACATAAGCATTTCAAAATTATTTCAGTTTTTCTAATGAAGAGCTCTTAAACAATGTTTCGTGTTTGGGAATGTGAAGTCTTTATTAAACAGTTCCAAATTTGTCAACTTATCAACATTTTGGTGATTTTAAGATCAGTTTCTGTAGAAAACTTTTAATTCGGAAATCTGGGAATTTTTCAATGATATTTTTTAAAAATATTATAACATTGATCAGTTTCATTAAAATAATGCTTATATATTGAAATTCTATTCAAGAAATAACATTAAAATTAAATCTTTTTATTTTTTTGCTATCATATAAAGTGACATTACTTTTGATTGTGGCGACTTATTATACAGTATTTTGATTCTGAAAAGTAAACAAAATAATGAATGCCTTCTTCTTTAGCACAATTTATAAAACAATTCTTAGTAAAAGCAAAATAGCTATGTAATTAATTAAAAAGTCCTTCATTTTAATGTTGTCACGGTAGAGTTTTTCACATGTAGTTATCTCAATATGCCTCAGTTTTCTCTATAAAATTAATTTTATACTTTTTCCTCTGATTTTTCTTTTTGTTGTTTTCAAAATATTTCTGCCTTTTTGCTGTTATGGAATTGGTAGGAATAATTTTTCTTTAAAATTTTAGACATTGCAACTTACAAAGTTTAGAAGGATTTTAAAGCAAGATTTACAGACCCACGAATCTAGAATTTGCCAGACAAATGTCTTCATGGTATTAATTCATAATGGATGTGTTTTACAGAAAGTTTGTGATGAACTTTTTGGAGAATTTTCTGAAAAACAATGAAAACATAATTTTTAAATGTTTTACTTCTGATACTAGAAGTCTTTTTCTTAATATGTTTATCTTCCCTTGGTTTTCTCTACTTTTCACTAGACACAAGCATGGAAAATATCAAAAATGCTTCTAATCTTATCACATTCACAGGCATTTATAGAAAGGAATTTTTCTATTAATAAAGAAATTGAAAACTCTCAATTTAAAAGATTAATCTTATATGTCTCAGTGCATTGTCAGTGGCGTAACTAGGGTGGGGCAAGGGAGGACATATGTCCCTGGGTGTAACATCCATGGAATGCCAAATTGATGCTACAAAATTAAAAATAAAATATTTTTCATTCTTGGCATACAGAAAGGGGCACAAAATCTTCAGTTGTCCCCAGGTGATGAAAAACCCTAGCTAAAGCTTTGTGCATCATACACAGGGCTGACACTACACATTTTCCCAACTGATGCTATCTCTGTGGATCCTAAATTCTTAGTTTTGCCATTTCTAGATTTTGTTGCTCGGTGTGTCACTAAATTCTAACAATTCTGCTACACCAGCTCTGCAACCGACCCTTACTATATATCATTTCATATTTATTCTGAATGTTCACATTACTAGAGAGATAAAATTAGCACCTTTTTCCCATAAAATCTACATGCATTTAGTTTTTTTGAATAACAGAAATCTTTAATTAAATCCAAAAATTCTAAAATGAAGAGGCAAGGTATTGAAGAAAGAAACTGAATACATAAAGAGAAAAAAATTATTCTTCAAAGATACGCACTGTTATTATTATGTAAATTAAACAGTTGTTTATAATATCACCCTGTGCTATAATTTTCCCTTTCCATTTCCTCATCAGAATGAAAATCACTTAGTTTTTAAACTAAGGTTTTGGTTGTAAGACAGATTTTGTTTCTGGCCTTCGCTTGCACCCTGCATTAGTTCCTACCAGCTCTGGTAATTTGTAATTATTCGTCTTTGCGTTATCGCTGCTGATATTTGGATTTGTCCCGCAATAACTAGGTTATGACGAGTTCCGAGTTTGTTAAGGTGTGTTACTAAGCCAGCTTAGATTAAAATTAAATTGTGTGGTCTTTGACTGCCAGTCCACATTTTTAGTTCGAATTTGACTGTTACTATTTAATTGGATCACCATAAGCTGTAGTTGATTTTGCTAGCATAAGAACATGCCTTTATGTTCTTAGGTCTTTTTAAAAAAGAGGTAGTTTTTTTTTTTTTTTTTTTTTTTTTTTTTTTTTTTTTTTTTTTTTAAATCTTTATCCAACTTTGTAGTTACTTTTGGACATAGCAATAATTTGCTTCATGTCTATCAGCGGTTTTGGACTATTTAACCTTTACCAGATCAAGTAAAACCTCATAGGTGCATTATTGAGAGATTGGCAAGTTAGGTGATAAAACACGCAGAAACTAGTGGGAATATTGATTTGCATATTGAAACAAATTTCTTATAGTAAGGAAAGATGCTTAAAGAGAAGGAAATTAATATAACAGCCAGAATGTCTGGAAAAGCTTCAAGTTAAAAAGATGCACAAATATTTTGCTTGAGTACTGTTGCTCCAAAACGTAAATGTTTTGTAGCTTTTAATGTGTAGTTATCTTAATATTGTTTAAGAACCAATGTCATAAATAACATGTATTTTAAACAGTGACATGTTAATCAATTGTGATTTTAATAGTGCGTTTTTAACAAATATTTTTAAAAAATAAATTTAATAGTGGCCATGTAAATTATAATGGCTAAGGTATATCTAACTAGCTAATTTAATTATTGGTAACTAACTGGTCACCCTTAAAAGTTATCTGTGCATATTAATGTGAGTTGTTGCCTTTCATTAATCTTTACCGTGGTCACAAGATACAGCACAAAAATGTAAAAATTAATGTGAAACTTAATTCTTTGCATCCAGTGAGACTTAATACAAAACAGCGTATCACCTCTGGTGCTTTAGAGGCTTATTGGAACCTTAAAATATATTAAATGGGTTACAGCCCCCGGAACTCTACACGAAGTTAGGACACTAACTGCATAAGATATGCCGGAGCACAACTAACTTTCAAAACTTGCCAATCATGCCTGCATAAGGCTTTTAGGTTTATTCTGTCAGCAGGCCTCTGTCTAGGTAAGCGGTGGCAACAGTCAGTCTTCTGTATCGAATCATGCTGATTATGATTTTGCTTCTCATTTTAACCTATGCCGTTTGACATAAAATCTGCCAGCTATTTACGAAACCTCTAAACTGAGCAAGTACCTGACAAAGTGAGACATAAAAGAAAAATATCAACATAAAGCTAACTTAGTAAAACGCAAATAAAATGTCACTAATCTTCTTTCAAATATATCGAACTATTATAAGGGTTATAGGGATTTTAAGTTTTACTAACGTTTATTTTATTTTAAACCTTTACTGTCCTCTCTTATTTTTCACTTCCAGCCAGAATAAACGTGTTAACTTGTTTATGCAAATTGTAGTTGCTAACGCTTAAGTATTTAAGTTGTGGCTTTTCGCCACGAAGAGTTAGATGAAGAGAGAGTAAGCCATCTTGCCACTGTATTTCACATGAACTTTCAATCAGTTGCTGTCCGCCTTTAAGCCAGAGGTTTAGTCCTCTTGATATCTAAGACGTATTGTAGTTTTCCGCAGTTTGAATCCTACATACGGAATAATCTGAAAGACCAACCTAAGAAGTGTTAGTCATTTATATAAAGTATTCAAAGTTAGCTCTTATTTAAATTTAGTTAGTTAGTAGTTCTTATATTTTAACTTTCAGACCACAAGTGGTTGGTCTTTGTATTCCGAAGTGCGAGAGCACTTGTAATATCGTTAGTTTTATTATACAAATTGTGCTTGCAAACTCTTAAGTATTTAAGTTGTGGCTTTTAGCCAAGAAGAGTTGGAGAGAGAGTCAGACTTCTCCTCACTTTACTTCGCTCGTGCTTCAGTCAGCTGCTGTGCGCCTTTAAGGCCAGAAATTTAGTCCTCTTGAAGACGTATTGTAGTTTTCCCCGCATTCTGCATACTACATACGTAAACATCTAAAAGGCCAATCTTAGTGTTACTAGTCTGTGTAAGGTATTTGAGTTTAGCTCTTACTTAAATTTAGTTAGTTTGTAGTTCTTATTTTCTTGCGTTCAGACCACAAGTGCTATTCTTTGTATCCCACAGTGCAGGAGCACCTGTTCATTGTGGAGAATAAAAGGGTAATTAAACCCTTCTTATCTTTGTCATATCTTCTACAGTAGCATAGGATATAGTTTAAGTAAACTCACTGTTCTACTCAGGACACCTACATGTTTGCTAAACAGATAAGAAGAAATAGTAGTCCTGATAGGGTAGAATATTTAATACTACCTGATAAATTTTATAAAGTTGATTTTATTCTCAAATTTGTTTTATAATTATGTTTATTAAATTATATTTAGTAATAATGTATTTTACTTGCGGATCTATTTTATTAAGTTGTGATTTTATTCTTAAGTGAAGTTCAAGCATAGCTAATATCTTTAATTGAATTTATTTAGTTCCCATTTATAGATGGGTCCTTAATTTTTTTCATTAATGGTCTTTAAAAGTACTTAATTTCCATGTGCAGAAATGTGTACAAACCCTTTTCTATATGATTGCTTCAGATATGTTTCTATTTCATTTATATGATAAAGTCAAAGGTAATCTTAATTTTTTTTTTAATTTTAATTTTTCAAAGAGGACTGAAAACCTTCATTTTTAATGCTATCCTCATCACTTTCATTCCAAGTGTATTAGTACTCGGTAATGCTT